CAAAATCGTGCCACCTATGGGGATTCGAACCATTAGCCTGCTGTTAACCCTTTCTCTCGCCGTTCCAAAGGAGCGCAGAAAAATGAACTACTTTCATGGTCTTCAAAAACCTTTACAGCAAAACCCGCTTTAGAAAGCAGCTCCACGCCTGAAAGACTTAAAAAGAATTCTTCTCTTGTTATGTACATCAAGGCTAATAATTAGTGTTCAGGCTCACAATTTCGGCAAGGATATCCGTGAAGCGGAAAATTGCAAGCCTGGATGTAAAGCGTGTATGACACTCATCTATCAGAATAATTCGGGATTCTGTTTCTGTAGGTTTTGGGACGACTTTTCTTCTTTCTTATTCCAAATCTAGCTTGAGGAACTGACAGATTTCTAATGATGTTGCTCAAGTTTCCCCGTTTAGGTAAGCATTCGGAACGGGAATCGATAGGCCAACTGGTGGGCACAGAAAGAGTTGCTTTCGAAGTGTTAACTCATTGCTTAGAACCGAATCCACTGCGACGATACACAGCTCGTATGCTTGCGGATTTAATAGGTACTGCCACGGGGAAACCAAAGTTGTAGTAAGTACGGCTCAGCTGTAGCTCAGTTGTTTGTTTTTGTTGTGATATGCGGTTCTTGTTGAGTTTTTTTTTCTTGCCGCCCGTCTTTCATTTGTCCCTCCTTGATTGTATCGTTTGCACGTTGAATTCAACGTTTCGATGTTTTCTAGGGTATTCTATTTGAGAGATTTGTCACGTTTGTTGCTCATTTTGACGTCAAAAACCGCGCTGCACATGCTTCGCTTAGCGAGAAGTTTGGTATATAGCTGCTTCCCACATTCCATTTCATCCTTTGCTCTTTCATATGCTCAGCCTTAATCAACGTGTTTGGTATATGGCAGGTTGCCAGATACCCTTTGAACTTTTCAAATTCACCTTTTGAAAGCTTTTTTTCATATCAGCCGACCAAGCCCGTTCAACTAGAGGTATCTGCTGCCCTGGTAGCCAAGCACCTCTAGACTGAATTAGTTCAAGACATCCGATTTGCAACGCGCACAAAAACAAGCTTTCGTAGCTGGTTAACTCGACATAACACATTGGCATCAAATCAGTTGTTTCATAGCTGCCCACGTCCTTTAGGCAGCGTTCAGACTTCGCGACGGCAGCGCTCCAGTCGCGCGATTTGACGATCGATGCGCATGCTTTCGACTGCATCGATCGCGTCGAACGCGCGACCGAAGCGCTGCCTTTCCGCATTTGTGCGAAGGCCTCGTCTCAATTACTTCGATATCAACAGAGTGATTCACTCCTGGACACCAGCGTTGGTTGTTCGTTGGTTGGGGGTGGGGGCGGAGCGGGCAACCAGGCCGCCCCTCTTGCTGCACCTTCTTAGACCTAGACCACAGACTACCAGATTCGACAAGTGATGGTCCCACAGAGAAGACATAATCTTCATCAACCATAAGCTTGAGCCTTGATTAGAGGGAGGGATACGCACACGCAGCCAAGAAGTCCCCCCCCCCCCGATCACGTTACCGCATTTTTTTTGTTGAGGACTAGTGGAACACGTTTACTATTCGAAAGAATGTCACTCATTTATTAAGCGATCTTTAGAATCAATCGAAAGGTTGAACGGTTTTTTAAGATGAGGTCGTCAGGTAAAAAGCAAAGGACGTGGTCTGTAACGAGACAAATGAATAAAAGTGAGAACTTGTTGTGTCAAGTCAACTAGCTAGGAATACTTGGTGGTATACGCGGGTCCTGTGCCTTGAGTTGGTCGTCCTGAGCTACACATGAGGTACTGATCCTATCGGGTATGATCTGCGAAAAAAGAAACGTGACGGTAAAGTGAATTTTTTGGAAAGCAAGCACAACACATTAGTTTATTCAAGCTCCTGCACTTTTCACTTATTCTCTTCTTCATTCACTTTTATGTTGGTTTTCTGCAGATCTACTCTTAACTCAAAATACTACAGCCTTGTTCGCTTGGACGATTGGGCATTTGGGAAGGGCTGGGTTTGACGCGGTGCCAGTCAGCTTTCCATCAGTTGTGTTCGCCTACCAGCTTCCAGCGAACAAGACTGTATCTGAAAGTCGGTCAGTTTGTCAATGAGCTGCTCTGAGCAAGCGTTAGGAAGTGCCTTGACATATCTCTCTATCTTCAACAGCTACCAATTTTGTCTTTCTGCAAACGTTTTGCTCGATACAACATGCACAACTTTCCCAGTTTCTGTACCCATTCCTCAGGTTTCTTTTTCTTTGGTCATTGAGTATTCAATACTCATGATCGAATTTTCTGCTGACAGGTTGAACTGTTCGTTAGGGAAATGTAATCCCGGTGATATTTGCTGCTATTACCTTATTTACAATGCTGTTAAGTAATTATATTTTGTGGCTTTCATGATAGGATAAAAGTTGTTTGTCCATTTTTTCGATGTTGGTAAACTACCGTGCAAAACTTACTGTCGTTGACACTTTTGATTTGTAGGGTCCCTGTGGCTGCTAAAGTCCTTTTCACTGCAAAGGCTAGGCCCAGTAGACTGGTGCGGTGTCGATGCGGTGCCGTCCTTCATAAAGTGTTGTCGCTAGCGCTTCAACAGGCGCCAAACCCAGCCCCCTGACACGCCCCAGCGTTTGTAGCGAGAACGACTATGTAAAGACTCGACTCGTACTATGAGAGCAATATGGCAGCTACTTTCACCAAGGTATTCTCTACCGAGTTTAATCTAATTCTTCTAGTTGGAGGGCGGCCGAACTGCCCGACTATTTTGCCATTGAAGTGTTATGACATGCCACACGTATTCTAGGCAGGACAACTCGTCCGGACCACCAAACGCGAGCCCTTAGGCAAACTGACATCATAATATTCCTATCTTGCATCTCAAACACTTTCGTACCAGCTCGACTGCAGGGAAGGACCCCAATAGCCGGTTACCTGAAAACGGCCGAGAGAAGTTCTGCTCTTAAGAAGATAGCACTGGCAGCGCGGTCTAACGATTAGCGCTGGGACACGATCGGTTTCACTTGCGTGATCCAAGAATCGCGCGTCTGAGTCACTCTCTTCGCGGAGCATAAAAGCGGTCGCAACGCTGGCTTCGAGGCTCCTTCTCTGTCAGAGCGTGTTCCCAAAGATGAACAGAAGAACGCCACCACTTCCAAAAACCATTCTTTTCTTCCAGAGCTGGCAAGCCGGCTGTCCGGACGTGTTAGTGGAATTGTGTTCGCTTAGCGAATTTTTCCAGGGGATCGTCCCGCTCCAAGGTCACGTTCATTTCTACGCGATCATATCAACTACCAGACGTGCATGCACCCTGCGACGTTTGACAAGCGTGCTCCTCCGGTAGTCGCCAGACGCCGCTGCATATTCTTTCCAATTCGGTCGATTTGACGAAAAACTCTTTTGCAGCATCTAACGACTAGTGGAATGAGCGCGATCGATCGCAGTCGCATCGACTAGTAGGAGTTGAACACCGCTATTGGCGAAGGAGTTGAGGCCCAGTCGAGCACGTGTTTCCCACTAGTGCCCCTCTTCTAATAAAGTGAATGGGTGAGAGTGTTAATGAGAGGCGGTACCACGCGATCTGCTCATACGATCCCGTGACTGTACCTTGACGGTTGCTCTTCCTGGAAAGCGCGTCGCATAACGTGTGTGATTCTATTATAGCATATGACGTACATCTCTTCTCCTTAGTCAAAGCATTTTCTTACTACGTACACTCCTTATCCCTAAAATGGAGTGGGCGTGGCACTTGAACATGGCATCGAATGGGTTACTCGTGGGATATTTCAATTCGAGACAACTGTCATCTTGTTGACAGAGACATGACCACAATTGTATCATAGTGAAAATATCTCTTCAGAGCCACAGCAATCGCCACGTTTAGTTGAAGTAGCAACCACGCCTACCACATCACAGAGATTTCGAGTTGTATGTACGGCCAACGGTACGTCGCCCGAAACATATCGCTCTCTAGGAAAGAAAGCATTAAAAAGAAAAGCTGCATGTTTCGCTGTGATTAACTGCCGTGGTCGCAATGGAAGATGAAAAATTCCCGCAGTAGCGAGAATAAAACGAGATCTGTTTGGCTACGCTCTAGCTCCAGAGTTGGAGGAGATCGGACCAGGATGATGCGCAACTTGTCGCGTCATATCGAGCGGCAAATTCTCGATAGGCATCGGTCTATCCATCAGAACAGCGGAACTTCTATGAATTCTAGCGAAGGTGAAACTTCATGTCGGCAGTTATCAAATTTTCCCGTTCCTTCAACACAGACCAACAGCAACACACATTCCTTTTCAAACGACGGCAAAACGACCTCGTCGTCGGGCGGCGGAGAGCGGCTCGCGCCACCCACCAGCGCGGCATATTACAGTTGTCCTGCCATTTACTCGGCTGCTGCTTAGTTTCTACTGGGCAATCGCTCCTTTTTCTCATTTTCTCAGAGTATTCCCTAATTTTTGTGAAATGTGTGGAGCAACCAGATGGTGACAGACTTTTGTTTGAAACATATAATTATTATATCCAGGCTTTGTTTTCTGTTTTGTTTCTGTTTCGTGGCAGTCGATACAGAATCGAATCTCGAGTTTCTTGTCGGAGACGGCTTTTTCATTCGATCGTGACCCCATCGGCGATCATTGATGGTGACGAGCGCTGAAATGGAAAGAGAATGGACATATGAACAACAGAATACACCAGTATAGGCACAGCAAATAGTGAATAGAACGGCAAATGAAGGTGTGACCCTGTTCGGAATGCGCCGCGTACCTGACTTCTATGCGTAGTTGCCTTCTAATGAGTATTTGGCCTTATTCCATGACTTAGCACCCGCTCATTGTCCCTTACAATTAGACATCTGTGACCCAAAACAATATGGAGCAATATGTGGGGATGTGAAGTCTGGCTAGCACGAAGAGGTTTGAATCTATGTCATGCCTATTTGGCCTCCGGCAACGCCTGAGAGTTACGCTCGCTCTCTCTCCACATCCATTCTCATGCTGAGAGTTACTAGAGGGTCTACTTAATAGATATTAAGGTTGTTCGGAAAGAAATGCGCGTTGAATTTGTCCATTATTTCTCTCCTACTATAGAAGATTTTTCAAAACAGTTTTGTCTATTAGAAAGAGATTTTTATTGTGCATCTTTTGATATATTTTTGTCTATGTCTACTTTGTTTTTTAAAGAAAGTTCAATTCCGGTCGATGCCAGGCAGTCAACTCCCGTGGCCGAGAGAAAGTTCACAAACCGCGAAAGAAGTCCAACTCTGGGTGTCCAACTTCTTTGAGTCGCAGCCGGCCGAGTTCTTCGAAAGAGGAATCCATTCTTTGCATAAACGTTGGCAACAAGTCATTGATAGTAATGGAGATTATCTTTTGAATTAATCTTGTTTAATTTCGTTTTTATAATAAAAAAATTTTTAAACTCAAACGCGCCATTCCTTTCCGTTAAGCGGGGAACCTAGTAGTCTGCCACTGGGGACCGACATGAGCGGAGGAGTGCTCATAAGGCCCTGTAACAGCTTCCACTGGTCCTGGCGAATTTTCCTTATTGACAGAAGGTGACACTTCCTGTAAGCCACACACGAT